TGCCCTTCTTTAAAGTGGCTRCCAAAGGCTCAGGTAGTGGTAGAARTGTGGAATAGTAGAACACCAGCATGTAACAGATCAGGTGTACAAGAGGGTCAGTCTCCGCTTCTGAAAACACAGGTTTTGGAAAWGGAGTTCTGGCCATTGTCTTAGAAAAGCTTAGTGCTTTTTCCTCTAAATCCAACCTGCAGTTTAGATTTGGGACATTGTTCTGTGCTGCATAAAAACTTACACTGTCAGAAGCATTCAAGAAACTGAAACTAAGGCTATAGGTAATTGTGTGCCACATATTTTTTTAGTTGAAAAGGCTTAAGCAGCTCTTGCTTCAGCGGAAAACCCACAAAGTTGTTTGACAGTTTCTGCTGTGTATCTATTAAATGAAGGCCTTGATTCTTTCCCTCTTGATTGCTCTGGATCTTCCTGAGGACTTGTGTAGGAATATGGGCAAAATTATTTCTGCAAGGAAAATGAGAGCAGAAAAAAATCCAGGCTCTAAAGTGGGATGAAGGATTGATGTTCCTTTTGGGCCCTTTCACAATTTGGACCCAGATTTTGAGAGTTGCACCTCTTTTCAAGGAAGACCTGGAAACTCTTAAAGCCCCAAGATGAATTTTTCAAGTCATAGAAGAATTGTGATTTTTCCACAAGAGCATAACATACCTGTCCCATCCTAGATAAAGCAGTTGTTYGCTCAATAACATGAACCATCCACTTGAAGCACAGAGTGGTGATAACCTGTGCACTCAGTTCTGCACCTGGTTTTTGAGGGGCTGGAGCCACATATTTGGGATTGTGCTGAAGGAAACAGAAGTGACCTTGGTTTTGTCCATATTCTCCAGCTCCCATCTGCTGCCCTGGCTCCCACCACACTGGATTCCTACAGTGCTGGTTTCTAGTCTCTTTCCAGGTTGAAAGAAAACTGTGTATGCTTGTATCCCTATTGGAGCTGAGGCCACCATGATGGTACTGTAAGGGAGGGCTCTGTGCCATGGCCCTTTTCAGCTCTCTGTCCGAAGTGCTGTAGAGAATCCAGCATTTTGTGTGTGAGAGAAATCCCTCTGGCAATCTGTGTCAGAGCTGGRTTTACTGGAAACAGGTCCTTGATGAAAACCTTCCTTGCACAACACTTTTCCCACCTACAGGCAGTGGTGACTGGCACAGTCCAAAAGCCTTTGACGGCCAATTCTTTTGTAGATTTCTGGCAAGGAGGCTCCAGATCTGGAGAGCAAGGCTTAACTCAAGGCTGCTGTAACTGGTGACAGTGCTGTGGGTCCGTGTATCAATGAGTAGGTGATGACCTTGTGAGTTCCCAGCCCTGCCCACTTGAAATAGCTCCTCAGGGCTGTGTTTATAAGAAGATTTTTTGAAGCAGCTTGTATTATGGAGCGAGAGGTGTAAAGAGCTGAATTTACAGCCCCAGATCCTGATTGTTTCTGGGAGGGAATGTTGTTTAGTTTCTATTGATATGAAGGTGCTCCTTCAGTACTGCTCTGATTTTCTAAGTGCTTTGGACAGGGGAGAGAAAATGTATGTAGAGAAGACAATATGGCATTTCTGCCTTTTGATTTTAATATTCCTGTGTAAGTCCTGTAAGACTTCCTGGGGAAGTCTGTTGTTTGGTGCTATTACTACTTCCCATGCCAGCCAACACTKGTGCAGGTGTATGTCTGCATTCCTGTTGACTCAGTCCCCCAGTTAGYTCCTGGTGAAGGCTTCAGTCTCTTCTCCTTTAATTGATGTGGTTTGCTGTGCTCTGATGGAGATTGTTTATGGACYAGACTGTGACTTTGGCCCCAGCATGTTACTCATGTCTACACAGATGAGCACAGGTGAACCTCAGCTTGTCTGCCTATGCAAAGATGAAGTTGASTGTGAGCCAGACATCTCTTAGCATGGAGTCAGAGCAGAAGCAACTGCATGCCAGGCTCTGTATAACTCTGCTCACAGCCCGTGCAAGTACCTTCTGTAGCTGCAATGAAGCTCTTACTGTGCAGCTTCCCTGTTTTGCAGTCATTTGTCAGAAAATCCCATCCAAGARTAAGCAGGTGTTTGGGATTTGCAGGTTTCTGGGAGAGATCTCTYCTTACTCCTCTGCCTGGTGACTGCTTTTTGGGTGATGAAACAGAGATACAAAATGTGGATAAAACACTGAGGTAGGGAGGTATGTAATGACCCCTGTGGATGTGCATATCCAGGCCTGGTGTTGGATGTTGATTGACTTGATCTCCTGAGCTGGGRCCTGGGTGTGTTACCAGAGATAACACAACAGCAAGAGCTGCCTGCTGAAGGGTGCAGCTGGTGRCAAAAGGGAAGGAGCAGCCCCTTGGGCGGCAAGGAGATCCCCCAAGGAGCATCATGCCTCAGAAAATGCCACTTATCTGAGACAGAACAATTTTGTGGGAAAATGTTGGTTTTGATGAATATCAGTTGCTGAAAAATATTGGATGAAAATGTTTTGAAAACTGTTTGACCTTTTCTAAATGGCAAAGTTTCAATGTTTTTAGGTCCAAATGCTGCTTCATTTTGATAGCTAGCATTAATTGAAGGTTAAAAAAATGTTGGAACTGAAATGGAATTCCTGAAAATGAATAGAAACAAAATGTTCTCTTCCTCTTTTCCTCCCCCAGCGTTCTTATTTCTGGAGAAATTGTGAGGTTTTTTTACTTTTKAGTTTCTCTGAGCAGAGATATTTAAAACCTCACAAATTGTTGTGGGAGGGCATCCCATCCGGCTCACTATCCACCTGCTCCAATTCAGTTGCTGGTTTTTAAGTGGGTTTTGTTTTATTTTGTGAAGGAGCTGCAAGCGTTTTTCAGAATTCCAAAGGGAGAGTCTCCAGATCTGCAAAGGGACTGGGGGTGCAGCCTGTCCCTGCAGCTCTTGTCTGCCCAGCACCCTCTGTTGGCTTCCTGGCAAGTCTTGCATCTCCCCATCTGAAAGGAAAGAGTGTGAGCAGTGTGCTGTGATTTATGCTGTGGCTAAGTGACAAACACACTGTGTTTGCTAAACTAACACCCTGGGAAAGCATGGAATGATCACTCTAAATGCACCATGGCTAAAAGGGGCCAGTTGTATGCACAAGTCGGGCTCATGCCAAAATGTAAAGAATATAAGGTAAATAGGACTGCAAGAAAATGCTGCTCACACATCCAGAGCCACAGACAGCAGCAACGTCATCTGGCTGAAGTGGCTGGAGCAAAAGCCTGCACATTGTGACATTTGCATTTACCAGACATCTTACAATCAGGTGAAAGAACTGAGATGGAGAGAGCAGGAGGGGCTGTGAATTTTGTCCTCTCTAACTCTGCATCARAGTAAAAGTGTGCCTTTCCACCTCCTTTCTTAAATGGAAAGGATTAATATAAGATCTGTCATGTGGGGTGTGATGGGAAATCAGCTTTGCTGTCTCCCCCGACATCCCAAGTCTGTTGCCATGTCTCCGGCTGATGTGAAGAGCATTCATTACTCCTCTTTTAGCTCTGATGTCTTTGCTTTGTCCATCAGGTGATGAGTCACATCATCGTGGTGAGTGGTGGTTTCTGACTTTTCATATGATGCTGTGCTGGCTCCTTGCTTGGAGGGCATTGTTTGTCCTTTTGAGGGGTTCTGAGACAGTTTTATTGCATCTCTTTGAGTGYCCTCAGTAGGAACAAGAGTGCATTTCAGCCATCTTCATACCGTGTAGGTGCCAGTTTGGATTTTGACCTTGCACAAACGTGGTAGAGTTCAGTTTTGCCTTTGAGGGATGTTTGTGAAGTGTGAAGCTATGAGCTTCAGGAAATTGCTACAAATTAATGYGTAAAAATGGTAAAATGATCCTCTTGATACCTATAGGCCCCCCAAGAAGGCAGGGTRGGCAAGATGCAGTCTGCAAGCAGTTTGGGGGCTGATGTATGGCAAGGTACAATGTTCCTATAAATAACAAACACTGATTTCAGGGTGCTGGCAATATTGGTTTCATATTGGTAAATTCTGAAACATTCGTATGTTGGAGCACTTTGAAAGTCCCTGTCAAGCTGATTTGCCTCAGAAAGGGCTCCTCTAGTATAGCCAGTATTTGGACCTGAATACTTTCCCTCTTGTCTAATAGCAAAGCCCTTTCTTCCTCATTTCCCTGTTGGTGTTGGCAGAAATGCCAAATATGAAGAGGTTGCAATGTAAGCAACCAATTTTTAGCAGAATATTTAAAAACAAAGCAATGGCAAACGGCAACAAAAGCCAGGCAAATCTGAAGGATTTGTAAGATGCTTTTCCTAACTCAGATGGATGCTGTTGTTATGCTGGGAGAATTAATGGATACAAGTAAAGAGGACCTGAYATGGAAAAATCAAAATACGTATTTTCTAGGAGAGGTGCAGAGCTGAATTTGCTTTTCTATATGGATTAACTGTATTCAGTGCAATAGTTCTGAAGTCACTTCTTTTAATTCACCTTATGCTTCTAATAGATTACTCTGGTAATCTATTAGAAAAACTGCTGTTGTAAAAGTACTTCTTGCATCTTAGTGTGTCACTCAGAAACAGGTCTGCTTTCAAAAATGCACCTTACTAGATATTTTTATTTTATTTAAACTTGTGCCCTGGCAGCCATTCACTCTGTTTGAATACTCTTCTGGCTGAACATTTGCTCCTTTGAGCAGAATATAGGCAATGTGTGTTCCACTCNAACTTGTGCCCTGGCAGCCATTCACTCTGTTTGAATACTCTTCTGGCTGAACATTTGCTCCTTTGAGCAGAATATAGGCAATGTGTGTTCCACTCGTGCATTTTTTGTGCTTCAAAATCACCTTGAGCTGAGTGGGTGAAACTGTCTCTTATACAAGTAGCTTGTGTTCCTCTGGGCAGTTCCCTTGCTGAATAGGATGTAAGGCTTATACMAAGAATTTATAACCCTTTCCCCTCCCTGCTGGTTTTCCCTAATACTACGTGTTGCTTTCATTTCTGCTTTTYCTCCAAAATACATAAAATGGACTTTTAAAAATTGGTGTTGTGAGCACGTACCACAAGAACTTGGGGCTGGGCTGCRTCTGAACAGAATAATGGAATTCCTTTTTTCTTCATGGTGCTATTCTCTCTTTCAGCCTCCAGCAAGCCCTGTGTCCAGGCCCTACATATTTAAAAAAAAAAGAAAAATTAGCCTGACTTTTCCAAAAAATGGACACCTGGATTGCACCACCATCTTTTTCTGCTGTGGGTATTGGCTTGAGGAAYTGGAATCCATTTTTACTTGATTATCATGCTCAGAACCTGACTTACCATGAGAAAGGGATAGAAACTCAGATTCTGAGAAACTCAAAGTCTTTGACTTATAAGGAGCCCTTCAAATAATTTCAAAACATCTTATGGGATTTTACAGCTGTAGCARTTTTTGCTTTCATTTTGGATTCAAAGAAATCCTCAGACTTAAAGTTTAAAAACCCACCCACCAATTTATTCTTGTACCAGCTTGTCAGGTTCCATCAAACCTCTCAGTCACTTCCATGTTAATTTTAAGCTGCTGTATTAACTGGTCAGAAAATCTTGTCAAGGGTCTCAACTGGGTACAAGAGCAAAAGCCAGGATTTTTTCAGACTTGGAAATTTCTCAGTCTTTTGGAGACAATTGCAGAATTTGAGCTGTAACTTGAAAGGCTGAGGGTTACWTGTGTGTAAAATAAGCTGAGCAATCATAGATCAGTAACACAACCTGATTCTTTACATTTTCATGTTCCCTAAATGTGTTTACAGTCAAGAAAAATAGTAGTCTTTCCATGAGCACATGGCTCTTGGAGCTATTTCTTGGCTTTTCTATCGTCAGTGCTCTCTTTATTATTTTCTGCAGATGTAACTCTGCATATGAAATTTCCATAGACAAATAACATCCCCTATTTACTGGGACTTTGGAAAGCAACAAGGAAAGTCAAATCAATCCTGTCCCCGTGTTGAGGTATCCTGTCCCTGTGCTGAGGTTCACTTTGAAGAATGAGTGCTTAGCGGTTTCCTTAGGGCACAGCTTCAAGTTTGGAAGCAAATGCAAAGTGAGCAGATTCTGGCCAGCAATTGCACCTGCCAGCAGGGTGCATTTCTTAGGTTTTACTGCCTGTGTGCCCAGAACTCTCTCTGCAAGATACTAATGAAGCAATTAATGGAAAAGGCTTGTAGATAAACCCATGGAGAATTGTTGGTCTCCTTTTCATGTAAAACTCAGCATCCAGAGCAACCTGATGCAGCTGGCTTTCTAGGGTGACTCCTCCTAAGTCCCAAAGCACTTGGACTTTGGGCAGTTACCCTTCTCTGCCTGTTGAAAAATGCATCAAAAATGTGACCTGGCTAATAATGTTAATTACCACGAGCTTAGTCCTGGCACTGCTGCAGGCACTGCTTGCCAGGGGCATGGCAGSAGTATCTGGTAGAGCAGCAGTTCCCTTTTAATGAGGGGAGCTTGATGGTTTGTTTGCTTATAAGCAGCTTTCTTTGAAATATTGTCTCCAAAATGCAGGAAGAGGAGAAAGCCACSTCCTGTAGCTGTGCTTGGAGATCACAGAATCAGGGAATGGTTTGGATTGAAAGGGACCTTAAAGACCTTCTTGTTCCAATCCCCTGCCATGGGCAGAGACACTTTCCTCTAGACCAGGTTGCTCAGAGCATCATCTGACCAGGACTTGAACACTTCCAGGGATGGGGCAGCCACAACTTCTRTGTTTAAATCCTCTGATTGGGGAACCACCCTGAGTCTGTTGGCAGCTCTGGCTGAGGTAGGAAAGCAGAGGTCACAGGCAACATGGTCCCATGAAGCATCAGAAGTCACTTCTTTTAATTCACCTAATGCTTCTAAGAGATTGCTCTGGTAAACTGCAGTTGTCAGAATACTTCTTGCATTCAATGTGTCATTCAGAAACAAGTCTGCTTTAAAAAATGCACCTTGCAGGTATTTTTATTTTGGGTACCCATGCAAATGTCTTGTCAGTCTCTGCCACAAGATTGGTCWGTCTCTATCACAAGATTTAGTTAAACCACTCGAGTTTTCACAAAGCTGCTGCCTCCAAAGGAAAGAAAATCTGCAGRCACAGATGAGAACAGAGCCTGAATTTGCTGAAGTGTGATGACACTCAGGGGTGGGGACTGGGTTGGGAATGTACCACATCTGCATGAAGCTTTGCCAGAGCCCAAAAGTCGTGCCTCTGTTGTGTCTGCCAGCAGTGCCTTCTGTGACACCTCTGTGGGTGTGGGGGAGAAGTGCTCCCTGCTGAGGGGGTGACCTGGGCAGATGTCAGAGCTGCCTCCTTTGTACTGCCTGTGCCAATGCAAGTTTAAGGTCAAAACTTGTCACTCAGGATTTTGCTTGTATGTGTCCTTTCTACCCTGGGCTGCAAAGGATTCAACAACAGAAAACAGTGCGTTTCCCATGGAAAAACTGTGCAAGATAGAAGTGATTGTTCATTTTCACATTCTCTTACTCTRTTGACTCTTTGCTATTCTGTCCCCATTCCAGGCCAAATCACAATTTCAAAAACTCCTTAGTTRTGGTATTGATAAAGACAAATGGATAAATTATTATAAAATCTTGGTGCTTTTGAAAGGGAAGGTTATCCAAGGCAGCATTAAGGCAGGGTTAAGATGCTTGAAGATGTGGCAGCAATAATTGTGCAATGGGACGCAAAGAAAGTTCTCTCCCAGATGAATTACAGGATGAGTAAGAGCAGCCTACCTGTTCAAATCCTCCCCAGGGCTCTGGTGGGATCTGATACATCTCCCTCCTTCCTGCCTGACTCTGCAGCAGGACTCTTGTGTTATTGTTTCACAGGCCCCTGCCTGAAGCTGGCCCTGCCCTTGGGCCACCTGTGCCTTCTCTCCAAGCTGTGCTCGTTGGGTTTCCGTGTCCTGGATGAAAGCAAGACTGGGACTGGCACAGTGGTGCTTTCTGAATGGTGTCCAAAGCCTGTGATGAAACTGCGGTGCTTTGGTGTAGCCTCTCTATCTGGGGATTGTGRTGATTGATATGGGAGGAAAAAACCAAGGGTGGGAGGCACAAAAGGTTAATATGCTGGTGCAATAGGCAGCCCCGGGGAGGGGGAGTGGCAGGAAGGGGTTTGCAGATGCAGCTCTTCTGTGCTCTTATCTACCCCTCTGGCAGCAGCCTCAGCCAGACTTGACTCGGCTCTTTGGGAACTGGCCCAAAGCTTTAATGAAGGCAGGCGGGGAGGCGCAGCGCGTTCCTGGCTCTCAGGGGGCCCTTTGTCTCTCAAGGCTATCGGCTTTCTCTGAGGAGACACATCATCACCCAGCTCTGAGCTGGATAAGAGCTTTTGAAGTTTTCTGTTTGATATGCGTCACTGCCTCCGTCACACAACACAAGACCTTCTCTGGTTTTATCCTTTCCCTGCTGCAGTTTCGCCCACCTGATATCGCAACCAGAGATAAAACAGAGCTGAACCTCACGTGTCTTGAAATAACTGGAGTTTGGGGAATGTGGTTTCCTAGAGAGAGCAATTAACGCCTTCAGAAGGTCTTAGCAGGAATGAGGATGATGAGCTTCTCCCTCCCATKCACAATCTGGGCTTTATTTCATCTAACCAGCTTGCTGATGGTCGAAGCTCTTCTGCCCAGATCTGTTGGGCTGTGCTTTCTGGGGCTGTCCTGGCTTCAGCTTTTCTCCTGTGTGTTTGGCTGTCCCAGGCAGGCATGGGCAGGTGCAGAGCCCTGCCCTCTGAGCTCAAGCACTGTTCCCAGGTCAGGGCATCCTGTGGGTATCTCTGGAGGCCACACAGCCCCCACGATGACAATAGTGCTGACTGTAGTAAGGTATCTGTGGTTTAAGWTCAGGCTTTGGTCACTAATGCCTAGTAAAGACCTACAAATAGATTCAATCTGGGCCTTCAGGGTTGTTGTTAAATATTTCGGGAGGGGGGGTTGCTGGTTTATCTGCCAGTGGCAGGAGACTGTTTAGAAATTGTTCACTGGACTGATGAACAGGTAGCWGATAGTTTCTCCTTTCTTTCTCCCAAAGGTACAAGGCTCCTGCTGATGCAGCAGCAACAGCAGTTAGCAGGGCAGTACCTGAATATGCTGGGTGGGATGACCTAACTTGGTGACTCGKGAGCCAGGATGTATGAGCAGCTGGTGTCCTGGTGACACCAGGGTGCTTGCAGAGTTAATGTTTGACTGCCCTGTGTGTCAGGTGACCTCTTGCAGTCTAGAAGTCAAGTCATGCATGGAGTCAACCAAAGGAAGAAGTCATATGGAGGGGTGGGGTGAGGTACTTAGCCAACAGGCAAAGCAAACAAATGGTGAATGAGAGTTAAAACAACACTTCAGGTTATAACCAGGAGGGAGGCTCTGCTGAGAAGCTGTCTACAGTCTCTGATTGTCTTGCCATTTCTAAGTGAGGGAATTGTGAGCACAGTGAACTGTRCAAGATCAATAATAAAACACATTCACCTTGGATCTCGTTATATCTACTGTGCAAACAAACAGTATTTCACATGATTGCTGAGAAGAAAAARCTAATTAAAGAGCTGCTATTTAATTGGCCTAGGTTCATCTTTATCTAATAGTCAACAGCAGACAAGTGAGTCTGAAAAGAAAAGCTCTGGAGGGATGAAGTGACTTGACCAAGATTGAAATTAACCCAGCTTGAAATCAGCTCTTGTAATTCCCAGCAGAAGGAGCCTGCCCAGCTGACCGAAAAAAATCTCTTGCTTTTGTTGCTGGCAGAGATCCGGAGCTCAGAGCAGAATACAAATGCCTCATTTTATAGAAATTACTTCTCTAMAGCTTGTCCTGATGTCTATACCCACATGAGCAGTGGTGGCTTGGAGGAGAGTGCAGCAAACCAAACTGAGGGGACATGCTGGTGCAAAGAACGTGGACAGTCACATTCCAGGAAGAGACCAGCACAGAGCTGCAGAGATGTGCTCAGCAGTTGTTTTGTTTGTTGTGGGAGTAGAGAGTGAACCTGTCCTGGGAGAGAACTTGCAGCACATTCAAGAGGGTTGAGGGCAGCCTTCTGTGTGTGTTGGTGCCTGTGCTCAACATAYCACATTTCTGCAGATTTCTCTCCAAACTTTCCTCTCTTGGGAAATTCAGCCACTGAAAAATACARTCCCCACTTACCATGATTTTAGGATCAGGTCTTGTAGAGGCTTAAAAGGGCAACACGGKTGTTATTCCAGAGCAACACCTGAACTCTGTAGGATAGATGCAAGATCAAATACTATGGATGGTGCTTTAATGGCAAGTGTGTGTGTAATGAAGTGTGGGATGTAACTCATCCCTGTCACCTCTTTTTATGGGATGGTGCTGGCCAGATAAGCTCATGTCAGGAATGCTACTGGCAGTTCCCCTGTTCCTTGGAAGCTGTTCCTGTTCAAAATTAGGGAACCTCACAAGACAAAACTTGGGAAGAAATCAGGCTTCAGCTGCTGAACAGAAACACAATTCAGTGCCATGTCTACAAGTTTTTGGCTTGCTTAGAAAGAAAAGTGATGTTTCTTGGGACACCAAAATATTGAACAGCCTATGGCTGAGGGTTAACTTGTATTCTCTCTAGTGGCTTTGCAGTTGATATCCATGTCTCCTGAAGTCTGGCATAGTGTAAATCACAGCAGCCAGGCACTGATCTCTACTGTCTATGGCTCRGATGAACATGTCCCTGTAGCTGACAGGGCAGCCAGAGCAGCCTGTGTTAGCAGTGGTGTTCTTTGGGCTGAGGGGAGATTGGCTCCTTGTCCGTGTCCTACAAGGACATGTATGATTGACTGGCACCTGCCATATGACATAGCTCCTGGGATGCCCACTTGTCACCGGAAATCCTCCTGCACATGACACTGGTGCCTTCAGAGCAGACATTACTTTCCTGACGAGGAAGGAATCAGGTCAGGCTGCTTCTGGTGTAGCATTTACTGCACACTCCTGGGACTTAGCTCCTTAGCTCCTCTGATAAACTTCTGCCTGAGATTTAAGAGACAAAAATACAGTGTTTGTTACAAGTGATTGCCCCTGTCCTCTTCAGTCCATATCATTTTCCAGTCTGACATAGCCAAGTTATCAAATCAGTGCTTCTTAGAGGCTGGATTCATTTTATTTGTGACCAGGCAGTCCCGGGGACACAAGCTGCCAAGAATCTGTCAATAATCAACCAGAGGATATCTTATCTTTTCTTTCCTTGGCTAAACACATTGTAAGGGCTAACACACCATGAATAATAGATAGTCATAAAAAAMCCACATCCCCTGTAAATCTGTTCCAGCTGTTACTAGACTGAATTTATGACAGTAATATTTAATCAACTGTTTTCAAGAAGAGGGTTACAAAAACACTGGACTAAAAGCTGTGGGTCTAGCAAGAGTTCTCTGCTTTCTGGCCTATAAGAGTCCCGGAAATGGAGAAATGCAGGAGGTGATGTGGATAGACTTAGGGGTTTTGTTTTAGTCCACAGCCATGCTGCTGTGCTGTCTAACCTGAGACAACTCAGAGGAAATGGATTTACAATSTCTGTGTTTTGTGCAGTGTCTGTCTGGTAAAAGCAATGCTTGAGAAGTCTGATTCTGCTCTCACTAACCTCTATCTCTTGCTTTTCAAGTGTTTGTTTTCCTCTCTATTATGAGATATAGATAACTTATTCACTGTGGTGGTTGAGATATTAATTGCTGTACCTCTTCCTGGATGTCTACCCCCAYATTAAGGAAACCTGAACTCCCATTAATTTCCACTTGAATTTGGACTTGGGGTGGTCTTTCTGGTSATCTTTGTGGTGTCAGACCTCATGTTGTTGGCTGCCAGAGCTGTAGATTTTTAGCCTTTTCCCTGTTCTTCAGGTTTTTCACAKGCTGCCTGATTGAGGAGTCTGGCAAATCAAAGGTCAGCACTTTTCTACCCTTGGAAGACTCTTTGTAAAAACAATAGTTTGAATAAATGAGTAGAAATTTTCATTTCCATTCTGGTGTTTGAGACTTCAGGATGCATTTTTTAAGTGACCCTCTGTGCAGTAGTTATTTTTACATAACAACATGGCTCCATTAACTACAGCTCCAAGGAAAAGTTAATATTCTTGATGGAAGATTGAGAATCAGAAAGTGTCTCATTCAAAAAGAGTTTGCATGGAAAAGGGATCGTGTCAYGTCAGTGTGTTGAGATTTAGGCTGCCAAACATTTCTTCACGTTGGTAAGAACCTTGGAGCAAATGTCTGAAATGCCTCTTCAGAGGCTCAAGCTTAGAGGAATACACCATTATGGGAAGTCATGAAGGTGATTTCTGCATCCAAGCAACTCTGGATACAAATAGCATGCAGGTTCAGATAAGGGTAATCAAATCGGATGCCTCAGGCCATAAGATGGTATCTGCAGGGACTGGGAAAGCTCTGCTTCCCAGTGCTCCTCAGTGCTCCCCACTGGGGCTGGCCAATGGCCACACTTCTCCATCGATTTGCCTGTCAGAGAATTAAGGAAGCAAAGTTCAATTCAGTGTTAATAACATTAAATACATTGCTCAGCTGTTTGCTTTTGCTTTCTTAAAACCATTGTGCTTGGAGGTGGCCTAGAGCACAGGTTATAGAATGCAATCTCTTCCTCTGAGCTTTCTACTCTTAGCATTTTGGTGGTTTAAAAGTCTTTTGGGCTGGGTTGGACATCATAGAAGTGCAGTTTCTGTGGGCRCAAAAGTCTTTTCCATCTTTGACTCAGGCTTGTGATTTTGTGGGAGAGGATTGTTCCTGGCCCGTGTGGTATTTGACTAACAATGAAGATAAATTAATACCATGCCCTGGAGAAACGGCTGCTGAAATGAACTGTCAGGCCAGTGTAAGACTTGCTGTCATCTGAGGGGATCTGGGCAGTCTGCAGCCATCAGCAAGCAGATTTATATTCAGTGCTGCTGCAGCTGCAGTAAATCTACTGTCAGCTGTATCATGCCAAAGGCAAAGCTTTTCAGGCATGTTGTAAGGCTGGCTTTCAGTGTGGTACAGCAGCCACCTCTGRTCCCAGGCAAATATT